TGATACGTGGGGCATCACCTCACATGATATTAGATTAATTTTTGCTTCTAGGACAGACTTTCAAGCGTCGCCCTTGTTTTGCATTACTGCAAAGGCCTGGCGCACCCCTACCTTCATCATGGATGTCCTGCCTTATATATATATATAGTGAGATCATGAATGTTGAAACCATCTCTCTGCGGTAAACTGACATAATAAGCAATACGTAGTCGGACAATATCATCCTAATAAGCTAAGCAAAAGTGTAAGACAAATCTTATTAGTAATTGTTTAAAACTAATTGTTTGTGACGAGGGTTTTGGGGTTTGACAGACAGTTAACTAATGCTGTAATAGGACAGAAAAGATCTCTCTTTAGGTGTCAGGTCTTATGTCAAGAGACCTCCTCCTACAATACATGAATTCCTACAAGTACACAGTTTAGCATATGCAATTAACAGCTTTTAAGATTTTGAAAAAAATATTGCATTAAGATTTGTCAGAGGCCGCGCAAACGCATACACCCTCGGCATGAATTCCTACAAGTACACAGTTTAGCATATGCAATTAACAGCTTTTAAGATTTTGAAAAAAATATTGCATTAAGATTTGTCAGAGGCCGCGCAAACGCATACACCCTCGGCATGAATTCCTACAAGTACACAGTTTAGCATATGCAATTAACAGCTTTTAAGATTTTGAAAAAAATATTGCATTAAGATTTGTCAGAGGCCGCGCAAACGCATACACCCTCGGCATGAATTCCTACAAGTACACAGTTTAGCATATGCAATTAACAGCTTTTAAGATTTTGAAAAAAATATTGCATTAAGATTTGTCAGAGGCCGCGCAAACGCATACACCCTCGGCATGAATTCCTACAAGTACACAGTTTAGCATATGCAATTAACAGCTTTTAAGATTTTGAAAAAAATATTGCATTAAGATTTGTCAGAGGCCGCGCAAACGCATACACCCTCGGCAACAAATTATGATGTAGATCATCCAACAGTACTTCAGAAAGATGTAAAGACACAGCCCAATACAACTACACTACTAACAAAAACTGCGAAGTTTTCACAGTAAAACACAGCCCATAGCATCAGAAAGTGTATTGCAGGCAGAAAAAATAATACTGCGAAGCCGTAAATATGACTATGATCTACCTCCAACAGCCTATCCAGTTAATAGGATTTGTAATGCATTGATGGACATTCACAAGGAACTAACTGATTGACATTCTTACTAGGTAGTTATTTGTGTTACTAGGATAATTGTTAGTCCCACTCCCACATTAGTAAGATGCAGCCATATATGTAAGAAGACGTAGGCGAATAAAGAGAAGAAGAAGGTCAACTTTACAACATACTTACCTGGACGCGGGGTCAATGGGCGATCAAGAATGTCCATGGCCTAGGTTTGTGACCTCCATTGCATGGAAGGTATACAGAACCATTTTGTACAGAAGAACAACTATTGATAATATCGCATTATCACATTAGTGTTTCACATGATATACCCAACTCCAGGCCCTGAAGATATTGCATGTTTACAAGCACAAACTTCATTGGAAAGGCCTACTTGAACTCTAGCTATAGACCAACTAAGAAGTTGCATTAACAAGCTTGGGGCAGCAGGCAACTGAAACTGGGAAACACAGCAGAGGTGAGAAATGCTGGACTGGTTTCGAAGGACAGAAAAACATTTCAATCTACAATTGGTAGGGGTGCACCAGGCCTTTGCAGTAGTGCAACGCAAGGGCGATGCTTGAGAGTCCCAACAGCAAGCTGTTGTGGTGGACTCCCCCTTGAAGTAAAAATTAATTTAATATCGTG